AAATAGCTTTATCCTTAATAACATATTCATAAGTAGTAAGAAGAACATTAAACTTGGTGCTCTTTAGTTGCTGAGCAATCTGTCGTCGAACATTTGGCAAACCTTTATATGCAATTTTAACAACAGATGGAGCCCAATGATTAAATTCTAACATCCAATTTGATAGAGTTGATAACGGAACAATTATTAAATAAGGACCAAATACTTTCTTTTTTTCCATTAAGTATGTAATCAAAGCAATAGTCTGAATGGTCTTACCCAAACCCATTTCATCTGCTAAAATACCATTTAAATTATTATTATATAATGAAACTAACCATTCCAAACCTTTAACTTGATATTCTTTTAATTTACCATTAACCAGAAGAGATGATTGTTCTTTTACTTCTTCTCTAATACCATGAGCAATATTGTAATAATTTTGATAACCTTCAAATATTTTGTATTCATCATCTTCAGCTTGTGCAGCATGAATAATTTCTTTAGATTCATCATCAAAACCTTTATTATTACCTTGACCATGTGATAATCGTGATTTACCTTCTTCATCATCATCTGAATCAGAACCATCATCATCCTCGTCGTCTTCATCATCTTCATCACGAGGTGCAACTTCATAACCAGGATGCATTTCTAACCAAGCATCTAGCTGGCTTGCCAAAGGAGCATGAGGTCCCGAAAGTACATTCCCAGTAGCTGTCTCTATTATATTAACATGTATATCACTCTGTTGAGAACTTTCATCTATAAGACCTTCTTGCAATGACTCATTATTTTCACCAGAATTTTCTTTTTGTTGTAATTTCTGTAATTTCTTCTTCTTTTTCTTCTGTTTTCTCTTTTCTCGCAATTTTTGCCTTTGGTCAGCTTTATGTTGTCTCACCATTTCTGTCAAATTACGTATATACTCATCAGTCTGTGATAATAAAAATGCTAATCTTTTATCTTTTTTCTGATCAATAAGTTTTCTATAGCCTTCTTCATCTTCAGCCATAAGTCGTATCAAACGTTCTTTTTCTATTCTCTGTTGTTCCTTTTTCTGTTCTCGTTCAGTATTAGCATGATAAGTAACTACAGCTTTGTTCACTTTTCCAATCTTTCCTAGCATATTACGATGATATTCTCTGAAATCTTTTCCATGTTGAAGTACTGCATTTAGATACTCTTGGTGTTTTTGCCTTCTCTTTCTTTCTTGTTCAAGTTTTTGTTGTTTTTCAAGTTTTTCAGTTATACGAGCTTCTCTAAGTCCTTGACGTTTGGAACGTTTATATAACTTTGGATTAAATGATGATTCTAATGTTGTATCTCTACGCATACAAGAAATTACTTCTGATCGCAACTGGCGTTGAAAATTTAAAAGTCTTAAAGCTTTTAATTCTATCATTGCTTTGATTCTCAAATCATCTGGTAAATTTGCTGGTAAATTTGAAAATTCCTCAATTCTGTGAACAATACGAGCAGCCAATCTATTTTCTCTTTCTTTTAAAATTTCAACTGGATCAATACCTTGAGGTTTTGCTATTGGAGTAATTCGATTCTGTTTTTGTTGCAATTGCATCATGGTAGGAACATTATTCACCTGTTCATTTGATCCTACTTGTTGTGAACCAGGCAGAATTTGAACAGATCCTGAGTTCTGAGAGGCAGCATTTACTTGATTTGTATTTGTAACTATTGTTGCTGGCTGAGCTGTGTTATGTGAGGTAGTCTGTTCATAAATTGTTACAGTCTGTCCTGGTTTTATCTGTTGTCCCATCACAGTTCCACTAATAGACTGATTTGGAATATCTCTTACTGCAGACTGCAAAGTTAGAGCATTTGTTTGCTGATACAAAGCATGTGGAGAAAGTCTTTTTCCAAGTAGTGCTAAACTCAAATTGTCAGGAATAGCTTGGTTACGTGCTAAATACCTGTAAGCTCTTATCTGTGCTCTTAGTTGGTTAATCTGGGCATTACTTAACAACATAGGCTTTTGTACCTGATTTGAACCTATTGAATTCATGTTTTCAATTGTCGTTTCAGAAATAGACTGTTGAGAATTACTCATCTCAGGAAATGCGGAATAAGAGTGATTATTTTGATCAACTTCTCCGACTTGTTGCACGGATGAATTTTGGATATTTTGAGATCCTTGTCCTTGTTGATATAATACAGCATACGACTGAGAATTTGTTTTGTTACCGACATTTGTCTGCGCATCTGTTGCAGCATTAGAATTTTGAGCTAAATAATTAGACGATGCATTCGACGGCGAAGGAGGTAGACCGATCGTTTGAGACGGAGGATAAGACTGTTCGGATGTCAGCGGCTGTTGAGTTTGCGCAATAACCTGATAAGACGCCGCCGGCTGCGAATGAACTTGAATATTTAAATTATTTTGTACAGGTTGGTTATTAAGCACTGTAACTTGTTGATTTTGCGATGCTGGAGATGGAATATTTGCATTTGTGGTTCCTGAATTTTGTTGAATGGGACCTGTAGAAGGATTGTGGACACCAGTTCCTGATGATGTCCCAGGGCTTGGGATTGCCTTATTTCGATTTGAAATTGCCATCATCTGGGCATAATGTTGATCATCTTTTTCTTCGATTGAGGTTAAAGTTTTTTGAAGAATATTTTTATCATCTGACACTAATCGTGATTGTTGTTCAGATATATTTCTACTTGAAGGTTGAACAATAGTTTCGTCTGTCGTCGCCATGACAGTCTCTAAATAAAATATATATATACTTCAATTTAAAAAAAAAATCATATATATTTATAATAATATAAGTAACAAACCTCACAGAAACGTTATTTACTAAAATCAAAACATAAGAATCCACGTTTTTAAATTTTTTACATCTCACGAAATCACTTCCTACTTTTAATGAATAACCATTTCAGAAACTGGATTTGTACGATTGTTAACACTGGATGGCGCTTCAAATTCTTAGAATTTTTAATGATTTTCTTTTTTCTTTTTTCTTTTTCTTATTGATAATTTTTATTATACATTTTTATTAATTGTTATAACAAAATAATCAAATTCCTAACAACGAGTGATAAGAATTATATAAATCTAAAATCCGAAGTAAATGTGATAATGCATGAAAAATAATTTTGAAACTTTTTACGATTGATTGGTTAAATTAATTAATGTGATGTATCAAAATTGGTAAACAATAATTTCGTTCCCTTTCGAACAGGCCTGACCAATAGCGGACTTGATTAACATGTACGAAGAATAAGAAATAATATTCCGACTCGTACTACACGTGACAAATTATGATAGTCTAGATCACGCTTGAACCGTGCTTCTCCGAGGCAATCTGTTATTAATTTATCGTGCACCCATATGCTTGCCTGACTATATTTTAAATAACTAAAATGGAAAATAAAAGCCTAATTAATTAAGTGATAACAGTCACAATTTTTTATGATGTCGAAAGAAATATATCATTTTTTAATCTTTTTTTTTTGTTTTTAACTCTTTCCGCCCTGTGGGCACTAAGAGGCCTCTTTAAGCAAGCCCATTATGGGTTCGGCCAGGCCCACAATGAGGCGACCGGGTAATGAGGGACGGGGCCAGACATATTCGGACGGACCACTTTCCGAAAAATTCCTGGGGATTTATTCCCAGGAATTTTTCGATTCCAGGGGATATTCGATCCCGTGTCTCCCAGATCGATCCGTCCGGATTCGATCCCGTGCTCCCAGAGCGGTAGGCTTCCACCTTGACCGCTTGGTCATCCGGCTGTGTATTTATTTTTTGACCAGTCGAATGGCCGAAGAGACAAAAGCATTAAGACGCCCGTTCTGGACATCTAGGGAATCCGAATTCAAGTATGGGTTGGATCCTCAAAAGGCTTCCTGAAGAATTTTACGCGAAATATGTCGTGCTCCATCTCCTGTCACAACCTGATTTATTGTGAGTCTGATAGAACCCATAATGGACATAAAGGGAATATTTTGTTAATGCCTTCAGGATGAAATTATAAATAAATAAACTATTTTAAATAAAAAAAAATAATAAAAGTTTTTCTTTTAATCAAAATGCATATTGTTCTTTTCAATATTTAAAATTTTCAATGAAGAATACAGAGTAAAATATATATGATTTTTCAAGATATTTTGCAATTAGAATAAGCATTGTTTACGGAATCCTAGCAACATAAGAATGCCGCCAGCCGGATAGCTAAGAAGGTGAAGGCATAAGCCTATCGCTCAAGGACCGCAAGGAAGAAAAACCCCAGGGAACTTTTGAGAGATAGTACATTCTGGATATGACAGGCCCGTCCCTTGTCCCCAGGCTGTCCCATTGTTGACCTGGTCGAACCCACAATAAACTTAAAAAAGGTCTTTTTAGTGTCCATATGACAGAACGAATAAAAATAAATCAGTTAGAAAATATAAAAAGTTTATCATATGAATGGTTTTTCTATTTTTTAAAGCTTCATTTATTTCTGTCTATACAAAACCCATGTTATAATTGCACCATTTTAAATCACTTCCTATCAGTTTATAAATTACCCATCACTACAAGGAATCGCTTATATCCAAATTTCAATTTAAAAAAAACTAGACATATTCCGGCCTTCGTATAAGAAAGCCGAAGTCAAACCGACGTTGGCCATCTACCGGTAATTTTTGTGATAATTTCTAAAAAATCAATTAAAATTAAGAAAAAAACTATTTGAACCATAATATAGTATAAAATTCACGTAAAAAAGTTTCTACAAGAAAAAACAAAAATTATTATTTTAACAATTAATTACACTATTAGCGAATCATCTAAATATATTTATTAATTTCGAAATAAAGATGATTATTTAAAAAAAATCTCTCGATTTGTCACGTGAATTTTTTTAATAGAAAATTTTAAAAATAAATAAATAAATAAATATTTCGTCCATATTAGTATTAATATTATATTTTTAATAAACATTTAGGCAATTTTTTAAAATAGTAATTAATTACTTGGTAATGTTTATTATGAAAATGAAATCTTAATATGTAAGATGGAGGACGGTATCCAAAATGGCTTCCTTTTTCTTCTGTAGTTTGTGTTTGTTTTTCTTGAAAAATTCGTTAATTTATATACAATTAAAAGATGTAACATTGATAAACAAGAGAGTTCATTGAACATTTATTCGTCTTTAAAATTATCAGGTATTAATTAATTAATATTTAAAATGATTAATTATTGATGCTTTCTATACTCGCAGTTTAATAAATTATAAAAGAAATCAAATGATTAAATTAATTAGAAGAATATTTTGTAATATTTGCAATTAATATTTGTATTATTCAATTTAAATTGAATTTATGTAATGAGATAAATAAACGTAGAGAGATTGACAAACGGACGTTAAAGGTAAACGTAAGTAAGAAACTTCGTAAGAATTATTATAATAAACGATTTATATATTAATTTATATAAAAATTATGTTATAAGAGAATGTCTAGACATTATAACAGTTTATTATTATATTAATCTACAGTCGTTGCTTATCAAATGTTTAATTTTTGATTATCAAATTCAATAATTGCAGCAACAGTCGTCTGTGTTACAATTTCCAGTGTAATTTTAATATTAAGGCTATGAAAATAATTTTAAAAGAACATGCAGCCTATTGTTTTTTCAAAGCCTGAGGCGATTGCCTTTTTTTTTCTTTTTCCTCTCTTGCTCTTAGCTCATTGTGCATTTATTATATTTAAGTTTTTATGGTGTGGTAATTTATTTTAAAATATTATACAAAGTTTATTGGTAATGATGGTGCATCCAGAGGGGAGCTGTGAGACTCTGCATCCTCCAAAGAAAAAGGGGGAAAAAAAAAATAGAAAATGTTTAAAAAATTTTTTTCTAATTAAAATCATTTTTTTTTATTTATATTCTGACATGTCTTCTACAGTAATACATTGGTTTTTGTTTACTTTGGTTATCGTCAATTTTTTTTTTTTTTTGTGAAAAATTTGTCTTGGTTTTCATTGGCGTGCCCACTTGACTTTGCTGCTAATTTTGCAAAAATAAAGGGTGATCCACATGTTTTATTGCCCAGTGTGGTGTTGTTTCTTGTTGTGTGAGCGTTACCCTGCACGTCTAGCCAAACAATTCCATTGCTTTCCTTTTAGCTCTGTTATGGGACCAAAGAAAGTTTCCAGAGCCTGCAGCCCTTCGAATGTATTGTTAAATGTTCATTTATTATTTACATTAGTTCTTTTTATATTCGGTTTATGTTAATTTCTTGTATTAAACACAATATTTATGCTCTATAAAATGTGTTTTTGGTATGTATTTCAGAGTATCTAGAACAAATTAATTGGATTTACATTGATTCATATGGAAATAATTGCCTTGGTTTTGTTGGTTTCAGATTTTGCCAATTGTTTTCGGATGGATTTTCGATGAAAACCAAGGTGTTAATGTATTTCTATACTACTAATGGATTAGTTGTTGCATAAGGTGGGAATTTTATTGAATTGGCATTAAAAGTTTATCTGTTCAACTGGGCTCCCCAAGATTAAATCTTGAGTGTGTAACTGATTGGGAATATATATTTTATTGTGTCTGATAAACTTGCCAAGATAACTTTAACAGTTATCTTGGCAAACCAAAAATACTTGTTTACTTTAAAATATTATAAATATAAGATTATTACTAAGCCTATATTATACTTTGCTTAGTAATAATGTCATTGTTAATTAAATATATGCTTGATTTTAACTAAAGAAAAAATTAAATATATTAATGCTTTAGGTTGATTATATGGCTACACAGACATCAGTTGATATCTGTGGGAGATTAAATTCAATTTTTGTCTGTAACCTTGTGATTTTTTATAGGTGGAGAATGATGTCCAAACCAGTGCTATTATCTTCATTCATGCTATTTCATTTCATTTGTAGATCAAAAATATAGAATGTATTATTTATAATACATTATCGCATGATAGAAAATCGTCAATTTCAGAATAGTATATCAAATTATTTATAAAACTTCTTATTAATTTTATTTGTAAAAGGCAGTAAATAATGTAAGTCATTCATGTAAAGATTTAGCATAAAAATTGAGTTGAATATTAATATTAAATAGGAAGTAAATGGGAACTTTATGAACTAAGAATAGATCTCAAATATATTAAATAGATGAGTTTTCTATGTTTAATTTTAGAAAAGGCTAAGATTTTGAATTCTATATTATGGTTAAATAATGTTTTATAATGTAAATTTATAGAATTACCATAATATTGAATCTACTTAATTATAAGGCAGTTAGTCTACAATATTTATTTATCTTGTAATAAATATAAGGACCAAATGATAAATGTTCAAAACTTATCGAATCATGTGTAGCAATTAATAGTAATTTTTATAAAAAATTTACTAATATATTAATCTTATATATCATAGCTGTCTTTTAGTTATTAACTTTGTATGCACCAGTGGTGCACCCAGGGGGTGGCACAAAGGGCCTGGTACTCTTCAAAGGAAAAGGAACACTAGTAAATTTTCTCTACTCTTTCCAAGATTAAATCTTGTTTGTGCCTCTGAGACTCACTGTGGGTGTCTTTTTTTAAAATTTGGTTGGAGTGTGGATTTATTCAAGCCTGTATGATTTTTGAATCTTTGGGTTTATTTTTTTCAAAATTAGGTTTTGTATGTAATGGTGTGAGAGTGGCTTTAGGAATCATTAAATAAAAACCAAAAAATAATTTTAAAAAGTTCGCACACAATAAGAAATTTGATGCAGTTATTTTTACAATTAAAATTTTGACTAAGATATTTACTGTATCTGTAGCTTAGAAATAAATTTATTCAAGTATTGTAGATTTATTTTTTTTTAAATATAATTGACAAGGTTGTGGAGTTGGTGTACCAAAAAACTCTGACTCAGACCTTCTAAAATTCTATGAGTCAATCCAGTTTTGACTTCTGCCTCCGAATAATAATTTAAAATATAGTTTGATTTTATATTAACCTAGAATGACATTTTATCACTGCCAAGTGAATTATCAGGCTACTTTTAAAGTGTTTTTAAGTGAGTGTTTGACTTTTTAAAGAAATACTGATTTTCAAATTTAATTGAAACAGAAAAACCTTTTATATTAATCAAAGAACCTTATATGACATTTGGCACTACATTAAAATTGTTTTTGCATTTTTAATTTATTAAGCACTATCAATTGCTGCATGAAAGTTTCAACAGTGACATATTATTAAACATTCAGAAAAGCAATAAACTAATCCTTCTTGCTTTGATTAAATGATAAAAGCCTTTTATGTATGTTAAAGACTACACACTAATAATTTTTCAAATTTTTTTAACAATTGTTTTTGGTGTACATAGTGAAGAGAGTCATTTATTTTCAAAACCTAAAGATTATAAGTAACTTTTAACTTTATCCAAAATTTAGATTTATGAAATATATTTAATTAAGCTGGCCTCTTAAAATAGGATATCTTAGAACTTTCATTGCATGTTTTGTTTTGACATACCTGAAAGACTGCTTTATTAATGTAGGTTTTTAATTATGTGTTGGTGTTGTCTAGTATTCTGGTGTTTGGAATATTCAGCACTGTGCATGGTCTCAACTAATTAATGCTACTCTTTTTTAATAAAGATTAATAAAAGCAAAAACAAAGCACACTTTTTACTGATAGATAAAAATATGTTGCTTTAAATTCTTAGGTACAGTATAATTTTTTATTGTAATATAAACTTATTAAATCTGTTTTTAATCTGTCTGTTAATTAAGTGTACAAGTGTACTTAATTTTTTAGATACTTAACAAGCAAGGGAAATCTAACGACCTGAATGGCCAAAGTGGTTAGGGTGTCAGCCTACCACTCTGATAGATCCTGGATGAAATCCAGATGGACAACCTCAGGAATTTTTTATGAGCAGTCTGTCTCAGATTTTTTTCACTCTTCCTTTTCTGTGGGCATTATTAAGAGGGCCTTTTTTTAAGTCCGTAATTTGGCCAGCTTGCAATGGAGTGGTTAAGTGGGTGTGGGGTGGGACACAACTAGGATTTTTCTACCAGGATTTCAGGATCTTGGTTATTTTTAAATTTAAATTTTACAAGCAATTCTTACTCTAGGAAATCCTGTAAATTCCTTTAAAATTTAATTTTCTTTTATTTTGTGTTAAGTTGGAGAAATTTTGTTAATAAAGAGTATAATTAACTCATAAATTGTCAAAATACAGAATGTGCAGGTCACAGATTGTTAATAATCAATATTTATTAAAAATGGCCAACAGCAATTTACATACTAAAAATATATTAGAGAGTACAAATAAAATTTTTTCTTCGCAATCCATTGCTTCACAGTCAACATTGACAATTCAAAAATATAAAAAACTTCACTTTCAGAGACAAATTTTTTATTTGAAATTATGCCTCTCTAAAAAGTATAAATTGGTTAAATGACTTCTTAAAAGCTAATTAAAGCTAAATTAAATAACATGTCACTTTTTAATATTTGTATAACCATTTATTTGAAATTTTGCTTGCGTAATTTTTCGAATTCTGCATTAGATTTTAGAGAAATAACTGAAGATGGACACTTAATGCGTTTGAAAACATTCTTATGTTATTAAAGAATTAAGCTGGACTTTTGAATGGTTTTTTATATTATTAATGATCTTTGAGTTAATTATAAGTCATAAATAGAATACAAATTATGTTCAAAAAGCATTTAAATTATAAAAACAAGAACATGAATTAGAATTTTTGAAACATTTAAATTAACAATTTTGGTATTAACCATTTATTTAAAGAAAATTTAATGGCATTTATCTTCCTTATTAAAGCCAAACTAAAGGAATGTAATATTAAACTGTCATATTTTAATAAATTTAATTTTTAATTTATTTAGAAGTAAATTAAAATTAATTGTATTTCTAATTATTAAATGTATTAAGATATGGCAGGTTAACTATTTACCTCTAAGCCAAATTGCTTTGTTTATGATCATAAAGATTTTATGTTAATATTATGTTAATTTTCAGTTGATATACAGTAGAGTCACATACAATGTGGTGTGGTATATTATGTGTTACAGAAAATTTTATTATTTAAAATTATCAGATGATTTTATGCAAGTTTAAACTTATGCCTAAAAGTTAAAGAAGAGAACGTAATACTGTGTGTACAATTAGTACTCAT